ACATGTCACCGCTCTTCCAGGCGTGGCAGCTTCAAGTCGGCGGCTGGGATCATGCGTTCCTCAAGCGGCGCGCGATCGAGTACTTGCGCAGTCTCCCGAGCTCGGCCGTGCTGCTGCCGCCGAGCGATGCGGCTACGGTGGCGCGGCATGCCATCCACAGCGCACCGCCACCAATGACGGCAACGAGCGAGACGGAGACCTTGGAGCCATCGACCGCTGGGAGCGGCAAGCGCAAGGCGGCGCCTCCAGACGCCCCACCGACATCAACGAAGAGCGCAAGGCAGCACAGAAAACAGTGCAAGGCGGAGACGACCGCCATGTGCAAGTACTGCTTGAAAGGGCCATGCGACCATCGCTGCAGCAATCTGCGCGACGACTACATCCACGATGCTGTCCGTGACGACTTTGTACTACGGAGCGACTATGGCTGCGCGCATTGCAAAGGCTGTGGCATTCGCAGCGTCCACCGCCAAGACCACTGTCCGATCTATCAACGCGTCGCCAAAATGAACCAATCGCCTTTGGTCGAGCTCGACGTCGCGACCAATCTTCCTCTAGTCAGATAGTTGGTGAATGCACTGAGGAATTCGTACATGGAGTAATAGAGTTTTGATAGAGCAGTCGGCTACCGTGCAATCGTTCCTGTTCTAAAGGTGCTAGCGAGAAGGAGATCCCGCCGTTGTGGTTAGCGTTCGTTGGTATGTGCTGATTTGAACGCACCGTTTTGAGCAAGGAAATCCGATTCGCTTGGGTTTGAGGGACGGCAACAGACAAGATCGCTTCCACCGGCACGAGCTCGCACGCTCGAGAGGCAGGCCATTCAAAGGACGTGTACAATGCAGCACACAGCGGCCCTTGCTGCTAGGAAGAAGGTACTAGTATGCGTGTTCTAGAAGGCGTCTCTGCGCACAGAGCTAGGCGACGCATCATTGCGTGAACTTGAAGTTCGTTGGTGTGGGGAGTTTAGCGCGATCCAAGCTGCTCTCCGCGACACGTCGAATAGCAAGCACAAGGCAGCGCACCTGCGATGCAGACCCAGCGAACGACGCCGCAGTCAACGCATCAACCCTTCAACCGGGTCGCTTCCTCGCACATGTTGAAGTTGCAACCGCCAATCACAGCGCCTCGGCATCGGGTCAAGTGACACCGATTTGCTACCGCTAGCTGGCGGTACGTGGCGCGTGCTCGCCCGGCTGCCAGAGATTTTCCATACCGTTGTACGCATGGGTGCTGGCCGTGGCGCCGGTGTCCTCGTTGCCAGTCGCGGGGCGCATAGGTGCCGCCGGTCGCGTGACCTCATTTTCAGGTGAGTCTTTGAGCTCGAGAGTTGGACCATGATCCCTTCGTGGTCCAACGCGTGTCGCAGCGGCGGGGCAGCACCACGAAAACCTCTACAAACGCATCTTCAACCAGCGTCATCGGTTGAAGACGACGATTCATTTTGAGTTTGCCTCTGCCACCCCCACCGCTCCCCAACTACCTTACGATGACCTCGATCAACTGGACCGAGCTCGAAGTCGCGGCCAAGAAGGCGTCGCTGGCGGCCTATGCGCCGTACAGCCACTTCCACGTCGGCGCCGCGCTGCTGACGTCGGATGGCCAAGTCTTTGCCGGCTGCAACGTCGAGAATGCTTCGTATCCCTTGGGCAACTGCGCCGAGCGTACCGCTGTGTACGCGGCGCGCGTCCAGGGCAACATGACGCACATCGAAGCCATTTGCATCTACACGCCGACCGAGAAGGCGACGTCGCCCTGCGGCGCGTGCCGCCAAGTGCTCAACGAGTTTGGCCCGACCATGGTCGTGCGTATGATCTGCGACGGCGACGAAGTGCTCGAGACGACGATCGACCACCTCCTCCCATACGGCTTTGGCCCCAAGAACCTCGAAGAGGCCAAGGAAACCCGCGATGCCCGCGCCAACTGCCCGTAATGTGTTTTTAAATTAAACGTCCTCTCTCTACGTGGATGTGACGGCGTCGCGTGGGCGAGTCGAGATGATATGATGATGATGGATGTCCCTCGCGAAGAAGAGGATTTATCGCGGGCGTAGCAAGCATGTACTAATGGCCCACCGATGGGAAAGGACGGTTTATCACGAGCGCAATCGGTAGCAAATACAATGATGCATCGTTGCAGTCGCACGACTTGCCGATGGGCTTGGGTTCGAATCCACCAAGCGACTGCTTTCTTGCGCCACGGAAGCCCAGCGTCTGAGTTAGTTAGCACGGCTTCCGTACACGATTCCTGGTAGCAAGGGCATCTAAATTGCTTGACATGGTAGAGTACATGGTTGTATTACAAGCTGATGGTAGAACGCGACGCCTCGTCACATTTCTTGAAGACTTGAAAATCTTTAAAAAGATTAAAAACAAAAACAACGCGTACACGCATCTAGTTTTTGGTGCCCGAGTACGCTGTGTCGCTCTTGTAGCCATTGGCGAGCTGGCTCTTGAGGTAGCAGCGACCGCCGTTCATGGTGAAGCCGGCGCAGTTGGACGTCGTCTTGCAGAGGCTGTGGCACATCGTCGCTTGGTCGACCGCCGACCCGGGCACGTCGATACCGCGAATGTCGTTGCCCCAGTAATCTTGCTTCCACTGGATCGACGGGCCCGCGCCCTTGATGCCCGACGACACGTGCGCGTTCGCTCGCGGCACGCCGACGCTCGACTTCATGTAGCACGAGCCGTAGCCGACCGAGTACGCGACGCACTTGTCGTTCTTGTGGCACATCGCGCAGCACTGCGCGAGCTGCTCGGTTGTCGAGCCCGACACCGGGCCGTTGCCAATGTCGTTGTTGGTGCCACCATTCGTAAAGTCAACGCCCATCTGCGCCGTGCACGTGCCCGACGACGACGACGACGACGACGACGCCGGGACGCCCGAGACGAGGCCGCTCGAAGGCCGCGGGTTGCCTTTGGACGACTTCATGTAGCACGTGTTGTAGCCGACCGTGAAGGCCGCGCAGTTGGTCGTGCCCGAGCACTTGGCGCAGCACTGGCCGACCTGCGTGTTGCGGTCGCCCGTCACCGGGATGCTGCCAATGTCGTTGCCCGGGTAGTCGACGTCCATCTGCGTCGAGCACGTGTTGGCTGTCGGCGCGGCGTTCGACGGGCCCGACGCCGGCGCCGGGGCCGACCCGCCAGGGCAAAAGACGATATCAAAGACCTCGTCGGCGGGGCAGTCGTGCGTCTTGGTGTCGGCGGGGAAGAGGTAGGCGTCCGGCGCGTCCGGCTTGTCGTCGAGAAGTGCCTTGCAGTTGGCCTTGCCCTTGTGACGCGTCGGTGTCAGCGACATGGGCACGTTGAAGCCGACGGCCTTGGTCTTCTCTTTGCAGTCCTGGAAGCTGTTGCAGTTGCCCGGCTACAAGGTCCCACGCATGAGCTATCCAAGGACGCAGACGGCGTGCTGTATATACCATGGGCGGGATGTTGCTAAAGTCATACCACAGACGCCCGTTGAGCACATACTCGATGACTAGACACGTGAGGTGAGCCATCCAAGCTCGACAAGGGACGAGGCGTACGGTTGACTTGGTCGGACGCCGTGTGGCGAAAGATGCCTGGCTTTTCGTGCGAGATGGTGACGCCGCAGCTCTTGTCGCGCGTCTGGCCGGGCGCGATGTCACAGAGGTGCTTGCCGTGGGCGGCGTAGAGGTTGATGGTGTAGCTGCACTTGTTGTTAAAGACAAACTCGGCGGCGTCGGCCGCAGAGAGGCCAGCGGCCGCCAGTGCCACGTAGGAAGAGAGCAGCTTCATGGTTCTACCAGCTTCTTGTCGCGCAAATTGAATACTGAGCCGACGTGCGCGCGGCTACGATACAGGATTGCGATCGTCGCCGCCCACACATGTACAGTGTATGCAGCATACAATAAAGCGTCGTGCGTTTCCATACAAAAACCAATATTACTTAAAATGCGCATTGAATACTGGATGTTACACATTCCCTTTCACCACGAAATGCTGGCGACCTTGGTGCAACAGCAATCGCATTCGCGTGAGTAGCACTCCACAACCTTGCCACGCCTTGCCTCATACCATTGCACTTGCCATTGCATGCATCATATCGCAGCTTCCAGGCTCATAGCGCCAGGCCAACACTGTATAGGGCTCGCCCCATGATAAGGTTGTTTGGATGATGGCGCGAGCTCGTGGCGTGAGGTACACACGCCACGAGCTCGCTGTACACCGGTAATACGTAATAAATTCTCGACGAACGGATGTGGATACATGAAGACGATATTCGCTAAATAGATAGATTAGTAAGGTTGCTAGAGCGTTAGACGGGCGTGCGGTACACGGACTCGAGATCGTCGTCGGTCTCGGCTTCGCCGACGCTCGAGCAGTACGTGGCTTCAACGTTCACGGCAGCTGGCGTCGTCGAGCGACTAAAGATCGCAAAGACGCCGCAGAGCGCCAGGGCCGCGCCGAGGCATGCGACGCTCCACGACGTGCTGCCGACACTGGCGTTCCAGTACGGATACCCGGTGCCCGACCCAGTGGAAGAGGACGACCCGACACACGCCGAGAGATTGCCACAAGCAAAGGTCCAAGCGGCGGTGATAGGCCCCACGAGCATCGTCGTCGAAGCGTTGCAAGTCGCTTGCGATACAAACTGAACGCAACCGCGGGTGCCCGTTGAAACACACAGCGAGTTGTTGGGTGAGAGCGCGACCCAGCCGTTGGAGCCTTGAACGCAGTCCCAAAGCAACGGCGTGGAGGAGAGGGCCGCGCGCGCGAGGTAGCACCATGATGACGGCGACTCGTACCCGGTCGAGCCCCAGTACATGGAGTGGTCGGCACCGCACTGCGCAGGGTGCAAGGCCACGTCGAGCTGGGTGGGCACGCCGAGGAGGTCGGCGACGCTGGTGGCTGTGACACAGTTGACACCGTCGTTCGAGTAGCACTCGGGTTGTCCGACGGTCGAGCTCGAGTTGCGGACCATGAGGTAGCCTTCGCCCGAGCCAATGTAGCTCCACGGCGCTTGAATCGACGAGGTGGTGGTCGTGTTGGTGGTCGCGGGTTGGACGCGGAAGGACGAGATTTTGTAGGGCCAGTTGCCGAGCAACGACGTCGAGTGGTGCCACACCGCCGAGTTGCCGGCGTCATCGTATGTCACAAACTCGGTCGCGGGGTCGACGACGATCGAGAAGATCGGGCGACTCCACTGGGCGAGCGTGGCGGCCGCATCGTCGGACGAGGCGACCGTGAGGGACTGGCCGAGGTACTGAGGCAGCTCATAGAGCACGACCGACGGGCGCGAGGCAAGCGCGAGGCCAAGCCATGCGCTTATGCAGCAGAGGGAGGACTTGAGCATGGCAAATGAAATTGGAAAATGATATCCATGGGCCACGACCAGCTGCAATTGCGTTTAAACGCATCGTGTCTAGGTTAAAATAGGGAATGATGGTAGCGATGACGATGGAAAGGCGCGCCGTCGACACGGCACGACGAATCGGTCGAGCGGCATCACTTGTACGCACAGGTGCAACACCGACGCTCTTCAATATTGCTGCGCGGTCTCAACGCTCGCGCGTCAGAATCTTGTCTTTCTTGTGTCCTGCCTACACACGACGACGCCACATTTCCCAACCACGTTGCTGCGCTATTCGAGTCCCAGAGGACTAGAATATTGGTAGAGTACAAGGTAGGTACAACACGTTTAGCTTGGCGGCTTGAAGGCTAAGCTAGATGTCTCGTGCGCTGCAGTGCAATTTTCGACGCTTGGCACTGAGAGTCATGGGTTCAACCCTTCCTGTTCAATGGGAACCTGGGACGTTATCGTCTTCTGTAAGATCTGTGTCAAAGGTGTCGTTTCCACGACACTACAATGCGAGCAAGTAGCTCGTCACGGGCAGTGGCCGCCGACGATAAAGTCCGCTGTCACTCACCGACCTGCATTTCAGGTTTTACCTATAAAACGCATATCGGTCAAAGGTTTTCTTCCGCAGATCTTATCGCAGCTGGTCGGCGATGCATGGGATTGGCTCTTCTCGCGTGGCGAATTGCCCGCGTTTCGTAATCCCGCTTATGGCTGGTCACATGGAAATGGTGCCATGATGACCAAAAACGCATCAGTTCATGATGGACGCCGAAGCGAAGAGGGCGATGCCTGCGCGTGTCATCATCCTCGGGGATTGGCGTCTGAGAAAGGGCAGATTTTGATCGCTTCGGACCGGTATTCGGTAATCAAGCGCCGATATCGCGAGCGTGGGCTCGTGACACCTGTGGACACGGACAAGACGGCGAATGTCAGGCGCTAGTACAAGCCGTGCACAGGATCGAGTTTTTCATGTCGAGTGCCCAGGACAATTATAGTTGATGATGGACCAAAAGACCAATCGGATCAGGCTGCAGGATCTCAAAATGCGACTTGAATCCCCAAGAAGCTCCACGATGATATTCACGCCACACGTTGATTTGGCGACCACGGGCTGGCGTCAGCAATCTTTTTGGCATTTTTCTTGGGGAGGCGAATGTGCGTGATTGGAAATTGTCAAAGAGAAAGAATCGTGGTCCGATGTAGACATGTTGTGCCAAATGTGACCATTTGAACCTGTCGAGTCGACAAGATCCCACAGAAATCGCAAACTTCGTCATCGAATGGGCACCAAGGTGCATGTCTCGATGGCAGACCGGAAGGAAACGTGTGAAAAGTCTTGTTGACGTGCTAGCACATTTCCGCAACGGCGCTTCTCAGATGACATGAGCACACCATTCGGTAGCCTTTACTTTCGTTGACGAGGCCAAAAGGTTTAACAAATCCACGTCATTTCTCAAGTGGCCACAGATCTCCATGCGTCTTGTCTGCACTGTTTGCTATCTCTATGAGGAATAAGAGCTCCTTTGCAAGGCCTCAGACGTCGCGTAGCTTGTATGAAGGTGACAGCGCAGAGATACCCTTGCAACACGAAAATGCACGATGCACCGCAGTCTATCTTCAGGAGAGGGTTGTCTAGGGAAGGGCCAAATTCTCGTCGGAGGACGATACTAATGGCGCGTTCGAATGTAAAAGCATCCTGCAGCATGATTGCACTCCGTTGCTTTCGACCCGCATCGTCACCAAGAGTCAATTTATGGCCTCACTATATAGCACTTGATATAGTACCGGTAGTTTTACTTGTCATTTGTTGTTGAAATGGATCGTCTATTGTATATATGAACGTGTTTCGCGTTATCTTCATTAACACGGTACAAAGACTTCGCATACGTAGAGCTACTCCGGAATGCGTGGGAGTTGGCACCAGCACTGCCAGCACTTGGTCGTTAGAAGTGAGCTGCGCACGGAGAGATCCAACCCGTGGTAGACCCCACTCATGAAGGTCGTCTATTTCAAAATTACAAGAGATAAACCAGGTACGCTACATAAATTATCGGACTATCTTCGTTGTGTACACTCGGTTGAGAAACATGATCTAAGCAGACGAAAGCAGGAGCACGATCGACGGGACAATGTGCTGGCCATTCGTGTTGAGCAAGGGGCCAGACAAGTTGACGAAGAGCGGTATGCTCAGGCTCTTGAACGAGGATGTGCTGCGAGTGCAGTTGAGCGACGCGTGTGGTGTGGCCTGGCTGACCGTGGCAGGCGCCTTAGTCTTCGTCTTGGCCAAATGAACCCTGGTGCGCTTGACAGCACGGTTCATCTGGTTACGGAACTTGACCGCCACTGCACTGCTTCACGCTCGCCCGGATCCGTCACGGCCAGGCACGTGGACAGCTCGTGGTCAGTGGCCTTGCACATCCAGCAGTTTTTGCGGGCGCCGCGGGGCAGCACAGGCTTCTTGGCTGGGTCCGAAGTCCCGTCATTGCCTGGAGGCTATGATCCGGTTCTTGCTTGTGCTTGGCTTGGGTTTGGGCTGCTTTGTCGGCGGGCCGCCGCCTTCACCTGGTTGAGCATCGGAGAGCTTGCGCTTCCCGGAGGCTATCTCGTTGATCTCTAGCCCCGTCCTGAAATCTTGGTAGGCTTCAATCTCGAACAAGAGTACGTTGGCAAACGCCTTGAGCGACTTAGCTGGGTTGACTTCTTGATGTAGCGACACCGCGTGCTTCACCCACGCCGGTTCGATCTTCTCCGTGATGGCCTTGATCACAATACGGCGAATGGCCTTCACCTGGCGAGCTTCAGCGTGGATAGACGCTATGCCGAGGCGTCGCTCCTAAACTATTGTCCTCAGTATGTGGTACCTCGATGAAGATAGATATATATTCCAGCTCGGCGCCCTTTCCCTAACGGCTTCTCCACCCACCCACAACCAACAAGGTCGTGTGGACGGTCCTGGCTTGCGTCGGTTGGAGCATGGTTGTCGCAATAGTCCAGACACAACACGCGCGCCGCCTTGACGGCTACCGTCCATGGACTTGGCAGCGGGAAGTCGGCGAGAAAGACGCGATCGATCCGGACTCGCCAGACGTTGAACCAGACGCAGGCACATGTTTGACCAAAAAGTAGTTTCACTTGTGTTTTGTAAAACATCCGACCACCAGACGTTGTGGACACCTTGCGGCAAGGTCCTCATGTCACTGGCAACTAGAGACACTCGATGGCGCAACTGACGCACGATCGTGGCCAAGGGTCATCCTAGCCACGCTGAGGGTGTTAGCAGAGCGCAGTGGGATCCAGCATCATCTTGGGCGCAACTAGTGGCCTTGTGCGTGAGGGTACCACTGAAAGAAGGTGCATTAGCGGTGAGTTCTCGTAAGCATGGTACGCTAGAGCACTGACCTGATAGATCCAAATTGGCTAGCAGGATCTCAATGCGAGCCAAAATCAGATGTTGATGGTACCAGCGCCAGATTAGTAGTTAGATCGATTGTGGCGCGTCCTACATTTGACCACCTGCTTCCCACCGTGCTGGAATCTCCACCCAGCATGCAACACAAAGAGCGTGGTCTTTGAGGTCGCGCGCCGTCGACTGTGCGGATCGTACTTGGTACTTTTCATTTTCAGATTGCCATCATGCTCCGTCTACTCGTGCTTGGTGCACTTGCTTTATGCATCAACGTCGACGCGATGACCGTCACCTTCTTCGAGCACCCGGCGTACCAAGGCCAGTCGCTTACCGTCGCCGCGGCCGACGACGCCGCCGCCGCGCTCCAGCGCTGGTCCAAACCGATTCAATCCATCACGCTCGATGCCAACACGGAGCTCGTGACCTACGATCGTCCAGAGCGACAAGGCCGGACCGCGATCTGGCGCTCCTCGACAACACGCCTCGGTAGCTGGACTCAGCGCGTCGCTTCGTTCGACCTCCGACGAGCAGACACGGAAGCGACAGTGCTGGACACCAACTGGAAGCACCTCCGCGTTCCCACGGGCTACGTGCAAGTGCGAGCGGCCGACACGATCGAGTG